TTTAGGTTGTTGATTTCGTATCTCTTTTCTTCTTTGTTGTAGGCATTTATTGTTATAAAATTCCCTATAGACATTTGTAGCTATAAATTACTACTTCACCTTAATCCTGCAAGTTTCTGTATTTTTATCTTTATTTTCATTAGTCATAAAGCATTTTCTAATTTCCCGAGATTTTTCTTGACCCACTGATTATTTAAGAATATATTAACAATAATAAGAGTTGTTTAGGGAGGGAGGTTGAAATATTATGAAACACCCAATATATAAATTAGGTAAATAGAAAGCTTCTCTGTTCAAAACCAGGGAAGATGCTTCAGAACTTGGTCTGCTTGTCCTCCGCTGACCTGTTATTATAACACAGCAATGGTTCATGAAGCACATTCTCATGAGGCTGGGGTTCTGATGAATATAATTTGAAAGCTACTGATTTAGCCCAGCTTCCACATTTTATAGCTGAGGAAATTGAAACACAAAGAGGGTAAGCAATTTAACTAGAATCAAGTAGATAGTGACATAATTTCATAATTCACTCTAGAATATATTATCTTTAGCCTCTTTGAACAAAGCTGCTAGATTATGGGATACTTTATTCAACAAATATTTATTGAGAGCTTACTGTGTATAGATAAGCAATGTTAAGGCACCCAAGATATAGCAGTGACCACAACAGAGAAGATCCTTGTCTTTTAGAATTTGATGTGGAAAATTGTCCCTGGTGTTTGCCATCCTTGGGGCATATTCTGAGTGACATATTCATTATTGGTTGTCGCTTTTCCGTGGCTTATTCTTTCGATCTTGTGACTCAGGGTATTACTTCTTTGGATAACAAGCTAGTTAGATGCGTTGACAGTGGTTGTGGCATGGAGAAATATGACTAGCCATATAAGAACTTAACCCAAACTTTGACTTCACTGTTTCAATAAAAAAGGCCCAGCATCTGGTTTTCAGTTTCAAATGGTCTACAAATTGTTAGTGACTAGATTGACATATTAGATGTGTATAATTGTTAGCTCTGTTTATAATTTTCAGCCATTTCTCTTTTAAATCAGTTGTTTCTATCCATATAATATCTGATTGAAAATAATTACATGTTCTTATCTCCTTGGTTGATCAATTTTTATTCTAATATTTGAAAGTTCTGGTATAATAGTCACCTTTTTTTTCTTATTTTTTGGAAAAATAAATTGAAGGTACAATTTTATTTTATGAATTCATTTTATATTTTCATGCACGGGGGTTCAGAAGTGATTTTAATTAAGGTGTATTAAATTTAATGCACAGAACTTTAGTATAGTGAAATTCAGAAATCAGGAAAGTAGTCAGGTAAGTGTACTTTATGTAGTTTAGAAAATTGCAATTTTCTTTGTTGTTGCTATATCATTTTTTTTTTTTTGGTAAACAGAAAAAACTTCATTTTTTTAAAAATAAAAGTCAGTGGAAAAATAGTGTGTGAAATAGAATTTTGTTCTTAAGTTTATGGGCAATTGTAGTACTCATTTTAATGCAATGAATGCGAACCAGTGGCACATTCTATTGTAATATCACACATAGGTGTAATAAAACATAATGAAGGTATTTGAAGTCAGCTTCTTTTCAGTATTATGTCTATGATTATTTACCATTCCTATGTTTACTTCAAAAATAGAATCTTGGAGAATTTTCATTTTGTCCATTATGCTTAAAATATTTTGATCTCTGTCTTCTGTGTTTTAATAAGTGTCATGACAGCTGGTGTGATCACAGCTCTTGTGGAAGGAAGTAATAATCTTGTCTTTTCTCAGAGAGGTGCCTCGTAACCACCTCTGGGATGTGGAGGGCTGCCCCAGGTGCACCTGATTTCATGTAGAAGCATAGTTGGGATCTACCATCAGGAAAAGGGGGTCTGGTGATAGAGTGAAAGAAGAAACTATGTAGTTTCAGTGGTCAGCAGATGAGTGGGCACTTAAAAGACAAACCTATTAACACTTTATATACAAATTTCTAGGTCTGACCATTGATATTTATATCTTATTGATTATCCTGCTTTCTGTAATACTTTTTATCCTAATCTGGGTCACTGATATGCATCACCTTTGGAGAATGTATTCATGGGCAGTAACTGAATCTTTTGAGCCTCTTCCCTAATCACACTACTGGGTGTAGGGAATCAGTCCTGTTGATCAGAGTATTCTCCTCAATTCATATCACTGCTCACAGATTCCTCAGCTGAGTCGGAAAATTGGGTCATGTGCTCTTGTATTCTGGCCTCAGCCCAAGCCACCCTTGGGTGGGCAAATGACTAAGCTGCTGAGAAGGTTCACTCCTATCTCTTTCCATTTCAGGGTATCTCTTCTTCGGTTCTTTTCTTTGCCTGACCTGTGGCAGGTTGTAACCTGATTGGAACACTGAGTGTCTCCCTTTTGTATAAAATCCCCTTTAGAAACGTCATTTTTAAAAAATTTTATTTTTAGCCAACAACCTTGGTCTTTCTCAGAAAAAGAAATTTTATATTTATTGTTTAAATGATTGATTGAAGTATACCCAACGCATGATGTTACATTATTTTCAGGTGTATGACATAGTGATTGGACAAGTCTATATGTTATGCTGCATGTTTATATTCCCCAGGAGTGTAGCTCCCATCTGTCCCGTTACATCGCTATTACAGTATCATTGGCTGTATTCCCTATGCTGTGCCTTTTATTCCCATGACTTATTCGTTCCATAACTGGAAGCCCGTATCTCCCAGACCCCTCCACCCATTTTGCCCATCTCCCCATCCCTCCCCTCTGGCAACCATCAGTTTGTTCTTTGTATTTGTGGTTCTGTTTCTAGTTTTTTTTTTTTATTTGTTCATTTTTTTGTTTGTTTTTTAGATTCTGCATATAAATGAGATCATATAATATTTGTCTTTCTCTGACTTAAAGAGAGATTTTATTAGACTTGCAGTTAACATTGTGATTTTTGAGGTGGAAATTATACAGTGATATATAGATCTTTAACACAATATTTGAGCTGTAATTGTGTGATTCCGGTAAAACTTAATATGGAGAGAAAGAACTGGAAATGCTTCCTGGGAAAGTTAGGAAAGAATTTTTGTGGAGAAAAAAAATTTTAAAGAATTTCTGTGAAGGATTGATAACTTGGATTGATTTTTCTGGGCATAGTATATGTTTTCTCACATATAAAAATGATTTTAAAGAATAAATAAAAATGATTTAATTAATAATCTATATCTATATCCATATCCCAGCTGTGTTGCCTTTCATTTAATTATTTGTCCCAAAAGTTTATTGTTTAATTATAATATTTGTACCTCTTCCATTCTTCATATGTTTTGTTACTTTTTAAAATCTATTTTTGTTAGAAACGTCATTATATTTTATTGAAGATTTAAAAGCGTTTCACTCATTCATTTGGATTTGTTTTAAGGGAATTCAAATGATGAAGAAATCATACTGTTTGTCCTCAGGAAGCTTATAGACTAGTAGAAATGACAGCAATTGGGCACATGATAACCCTGATACACAACTCAAACTGATAAGTGCTTGTCTCCTTAGCTTTCTCATCACTGGAGTGTTTATTCACCTGGTTACAAAAATTGTTTCAGGGCTTCAGTTGTCCACAGTTGATTCAGGGACAGTCAGACTTGGAACCTTTGCTGGAATTTTGGAAAAGGGATTTTTTTTTCCCCCCAGGTCTGCTAAGCTGGTAAATATAAGTCTGGGGTAAGTGGGTAGAGTCTCCAAGAATGAGATCAGCATAGAGAAAGAAGGATGACATCTTAAGATTTCAGGTATATTTCTGGATGCTGTCATTGTAACAGTGGTCATTCCTTCTGTATATTGCCAATTAGTGGGTCAACAAACTACCTCTGTGGTCCCTGCAGTTTTGGTTGGGTTTCTGTCACAAATGGAAGTGATTTGAGAATTGCGGTATCTGAAGCCTGTGCTCTCCCCACGTTGCTGTTAGTTGCCAACCCTGGTTATACATCAGGGACACCTGGATGTCTTTTACAAAATACAGTTTCCAGATCCAAATCTAGACCTACTAAATCACTCCCAGGTTGGAAGAGGTCTAGGAACCTGTATTTTAAAAGTTTCCAGGGTGCCTGGGTGGCTCAGTCGGTTAAGTGTCTGACTCTTGATCTTAGCTCAGGTCTTGATCTCAGGGTGGTGAATTCAAGCCTCGCATTGGGCTCCACACTGGGCATGGAGCCTACTTTAAAAAAAAAATTATTGGAAGTGGGGCGCCTGGGTAGTGCAGTCAGTTGAGCATCGAACTCTTGGTTTCAGCTCAGGTTGTGATCTCAGGGTTGTGAGATTGAGCCCAGCTTCAAGCTCTGTGCTCAGCGTGGAGTCTGCTTAAGATTCTCTCTCCCTCTGCCCCTCCCCTCCTCTCTCTAAAATAAATAAGTGTATAAAAAAAATAAAAGTTTCCTTCCAAATCACTGTCATAGTTAATCCACATATTAGAGTTGGGGATCCATTGCTGTGTGGTGTAATGCCACCACTTTACATCTCCATTTTGCAAGTGGAGAAAGGCCCAGAAAATTAAAATCCCTTTAGGAGGCCATGTAAGAGGTCACATCAAGTCTCCTGAGTAAGCACCAAGTCTAAGTCTCTGTCTATTGCTTTTTCCGTTATGCAATGCTGCATTAAAAAGTCACATTGCTCTTTATTCTTAGGTTAGTGGTTATCTTAGTTCGAGTCCCCTAGACAATGAAGCCTGATGCAAGAATTAAATACTGATGCTTTACTTGGGAGGTGCAAACTCAGGGCAACGAGAGTGGGAGAAAAGAGAAACAAGGAAGGGAAGAATGGGAAGTAAAACAATGAATGATGCTTGAGCTACTTTCTCACTGTCCGCTATTTACCTCCATGAATAGATGCAACAGGTTGCTCAGCAGGTATCACTTTGAAAAACTATGTGAAAAACGCCCCTGAGCAATCATTGTGAAAGAGGAAGGAAAGGAATTTTGTCTTCATGTATACCTCCTGTCTCCTGTACCTATTTGCCAGATTTTACTCCATGGGAGTTAATGGCCCTTGGCTTTGAGGTGGCCTTCCCTGGCCCCACAGAATGCCAGGTTCCATGCCCTACCATGGCAAGAGGAGCCAGAAATTCTGAACTTGGGACTGATCTACCTGTCCCTCAAGCAGCAGCCAAGGGGTTGGCTCCATTAGTTCTGAAGGAAGTTGCAGGTCATCCTCAGGCTGAGGAACATGGAGGCGGGACAATAGCTGAGGTTGCTGGAGGTGGCAGAACCAAGGGAATCACAGGAAGCAGGTGAAATGGATCCCATACAGCAATGTTGTCTTACTGTTAATATTTTAAAGAATTCCTGTTACACTGTCAGCAGCTTTCATAGACAATATCCAGTTTCTTTCCCTTTCCCCTACCATCTCTGCTCACAAACTTCATCCCAGGTCCTGAGCCTGCTCTCACCTGAGACCTGGGATCTAGGCACCCTTCTGTGCTGTCCACCAGTCTCCCCTGTCATGCCTGCAGTCTCATGAGTTCTACTGTAATATTAATCTGTCAGCCCGGGCTCCTTTCTGTGCTCCCATCCTTGTGATGCATCTTCCTCTCTCCCTTGTGTTTCAGTCCCCAGGTAAAAGTTTCTACTCTATTTCTTAAAACCCAAGCTAGTTGTTTTCAGACTCCCTCACTAGGCACTGGTATACTCACTCTTCCTGCCGTCTACTCCTGTCCTAGACAGCCCGAGTTCCCTCAGACAAGAATCTTGCCTCTGAACTTGGGATCCCGTGTCTTTCTTGACTGTAGCACAGGTCTCTGACATCAATCAGACCTAGTTTTTCTTATCTCTGGTCCACATACTTGATTATAATTTCACTTCTGTTTTTGAAAATCCCAGTCACAAATGTGTGACTAATCCTCCTTTCTCGTCTGGCTGCCTTTCCCATACCTGGCCTCCCAGAGTAAAAGTTTCCAGCTTGTTCAGTTGTTAATCTGTGTCTTGTCCTAACATTTGGGGGTTCTGCCAGCCCCAGGTTCTTTCCTCTTTACGCCATACATTAATGAAACATGATTGTGTCCTATATTATCAAAGAAAACATACTAATATCCAAGACTGTGTATATATTATTTATCCTTACAGTTTTATTGTAAGATACTTTCAGTCTATCAATGTCTCCCACTTTGCCTTTTATTGTTTTATATCTATGGACATAGAGCCTGCAAGCAAAAACAAATGTGAACTTTAAACGGCATCTTAATCTTTCTATTAGATCTTCAATAGTGAACATATGCTATGCAATAATACATTTAGGAAGACATTTAATCAAAAATTGCATAAGCCTTTTCCCCTAGTTTAAGTCCTAGAGAATGTGTTGTTTATCGGCATGCCAACAGCTTAAACTAATTTGCACTCTTAGTAAATCAATCTATGAGAACTTAAAAATCAACTCTGTTTAAAACAGATTTTATTTTTAACATATGATAGTTAGAGAAAGTTTATGGTATTCGGAATTGAAAATTCAAAAGACAGTTAATTTACCATCAGTAATCTTTTGCTTCCTCATGGAGGGGTTAATTAGAAATTTTATTTCAGTTCTTTTGGAAATTTTGCCTTAAAAAATCATATAGAAAGAAGAGACAACTTCCTAGTTAAAATATTGGCAAGCTGCAACTCCATAATAAGCTCTCTTCTAATTTTCCATTAAATGATCCATGAATACATACAGAAACTCAAAAATTCAGTAGCAATGGAAGGGAAAGATAACAGCCACCCATTTACATAAGTCCTTTGAGAAATTCCCAGTAATTACTGAGCTGATGTGGCCTGATTGAAAAACACACTTAATAGCCTCCACAGCTCATGCCTAATCAAAAGAAAATTTAAGTATAAAGAGGAAACAGTCTAGTCCCATAATCTGTCTTTTCTTCAGAAATTTATTATCTGTACCTACCAGAAAACTTGGAAGCCACCTCCTCATTGCATCCCTTCTGGCACATAGTAGGTGTTTTAAAACTTTTTCTCTGATGAGTAAATGAATCCATGTGAAATACTTTCTAAGGAGGCCCTCTATTAAGACTTCTTTTTCTGCATTCCTCTTGAAGATCCAAACCCCCTGGAATTAAAATGACTGTAACCATTGGAGAAAATGCGGGGGAACATCATTCTACCAAGGCTGTACAGAGATAGGAAGAGTCCAAGTGATTTGTGGTTCGTGTTACTGGTGACATTAGAGTTTATCCATTAGTAGGAAGATAACGCAATTTTCTAAAACGTCAATTTTCCCTAGATTATTTGAAAACTGCCAATGGATGTAAGACACTATCCTCCCTACATCTAATAGATGGGTGCTTCTTTGCTACAGGAAATTGGCCCACGGGGATGCACTGAGTTACCTCCACATGCAGATCTAAGAAATCGCTGCAAAGTGAAAGGAGGCTGAGACCCTATACAAGTGACCACCTTGGAGAGATACCCCTCTCCTTTTTATACGAGCAAACGAGAAAAGGCAGAAATGATTTCTTTTAATGCTAAAAGATAAGAGAGTAGTGACACCTAAATTCACACTTAAATGGGTTATAGTGAAACTATAGAAGGGCAAACACAAGAGAAATTCTGAAAAACAAGACAAAAAGACACGATTTTCAAAGGAACAAAAATGATAGCAAAGGTAGAATCCCCAACAGTAAGAACAGAAGCCCGAAGAATGTGGAATTGCACTGCTGAAGCAAATTAACTGTCAGCCTAGAATTTTAAATCCCAGGGAACTATCACTCAAGAGTAAGGATGAAGTAAAAGTATTTCCAGTCCAACAATGAGATTAAGACAATTTAAAACTCACAGATACTTGCTAAAAGAACAGATGGAGAACCTACTTCGGAATGAAGGGAATTGAATTCAGAAAAAATAATTAGAATCCAGTAATAGTGGTTATTAAATCTATCAATAAATGTGTGTAAATCTCAGTGAGCATTGACTATGGAAATAATAATGAATAACTCAGGTGTTCTAAAAGCAAAGTGAACTCAAGTACTAAATAATAACTTTATCAGGGGGATGGGTATTGCCATCAGACATGTAAGGTTCTTGCATTTGGGGGGAAGAGGTTTGAACTATTTTAATACATTTTTTATAAAGTGTAAATGTTGAAAACTTGGGACAACCAAAAAATATAGAGATAGGATATATATAATTTCTCTCTTTTTTTTAAAGATTTATTTATTTGAGGTGGGGAGATGGAGAGGGAGAGTCATGTTTTTAAGCAGACTCCACGCTGAATGCAGAGCCTGACTGAGGGCTCGATCCCACAACCCTAAGAGACCGTGAGATCATGAACGGAGCCGTAACTGAGTTGGACACCCAAGTGACTGCACCACCCAGGCACTCCATGTTTTCTGAAGTAGGCTTCATGCCCACCATGGAGCCCAACACTGGGCTTGAGCTCACGAATCTGAAATTAAGACCTGAGAGGGAAAGTCGGACACTTAACCAACTGAGCCACCCAGGCACCCCAGAATATATAATTTCTGAACCAGTAGAGGCATAAAAGAAAATAAAGAAAACTTTGATGAGTCCAGTAGAATGCAGGAACAGAGAAGAATTAAAGGAAGGTTGTAGTACAGAGAGGTACCATATGAGATGTTCAACACAAATATATCATGAATCGTGATAAATATACACAGACTCAACTGAAAGTTGGTATTTTGAGAATAGAAAGTAAAATGCAGCTTTATGCTGTTGACAAAATTACCTGGTAAGATATCTAGAAATGTACATATCTAGTAATGTATATACTAATAAAAAATTAGCTGACATAAATATATTAGAATAAGTAGACTTTAAAGCAAATAAATATATTAATTTTTTTTAAAAATCACCCAATGTAGAGAAAAATTCCAAACTTATTTCCTCCTAACCACATAATCTCAAAATGTGTAAAGCAAAATTTGACAAGTATGGAAGGAGAAATGAACAAACCCTCAGAGTAGGAGATTTTATTATACTTCTTTCAGTAATTGACAGCTCAAGCTGACAGGATGTTAGTAAAGCCCTACCAGACTTGACCAACACAATTAATGAGATTAGGCTTTCCTCTACTGATTAAGCCTACTATAGCTCTGCTGCAAATAATTGTCTATCTTTGATCTCTCTCTCCGGACTTCTTCCTATGCTTTAGGGCACCTGTGAGGATGTGCAAGTATTGCCTTTCAGCAAAATCTGACAGGGAACTGCATACCAGTCTTTCTTGGTTACAGATACTTAAAAAACTTCATGGGGAAAAAAGTCTAGTGCTCTCAGCCATTTAGAATTGGTTAGGAAAATAAAGGTCATATGCCATTCTCTTAGCATCCCCCAAACTTTCTTTTTCCTTCTTTGATTCCTACTTCCCCCTCTTCTCTACTTTTATCCTCCTTCCTTCTTCCTTTCTTCCTTTTTTCCTTTTTGTATCTCTTTTTATCCCTCTATTTTCACCCTTAAATGTTATATTATTTGAGATCTTCCTGGTGATAGAAAAGCAAAAGTAGCTGAGCCTCTTTTGAAGTGATAAAATCCAATTTAACCAGTATTTCAAAAATTGAATTTGTCCATAAATAATATGGGTCTTTATCATTTTAAATTGCTGTTACTTTATTGAGTAGTATAATAAATTTAACAATTTAAGCAGCAAGTCATTTCAGAAAACAGTTTTCCCTGAGTGGATGATACTAAACTACACTTCTACTAAAGAAAACATTTGGGGCACCTGAGTGTCTCAGCCGGTTAAGTGTCTGCCTTAGGCTCAGATCATGATCTCAGGGTCCTGGGATCTCTACTCAGCAGGCAGTCTACTTCTCCCTCTCCCTCTGCCTCCTCCCCCCTGCTCATGCTCTGTCTCTGTCTCTCTTTCTCTCAAATAAAGAAAAAAAAAATTAAAAAAAAAAAGAAGACATTTTACAAAATAAATCAAACACACTCTAAAATTTGTAATTGCTGAATCCTTTCCTTGTTTATGTGAAGTCTATGGCATACTTCATGTTTTTGATATTAAAGAGGAAGCTCAGTAATGAGCAATCGTTAGCATGCAATGAGTCTGTCACTTAACTTTACCTGAGTATTTGTGAGGCAGATGCTCATGTGCCAATAAGAACATAATAAAGTAACTAAAATGGGTAAAATTCCAACTAGCATGTGATTTGGTCTTTTTATTTGTAGAATAGAAAAAAAAAAATCTGCACTGAAACTTTCTAGTAGTAGATGGAAGTGGGATTAGCAAATGGGAAAATATAATTACTCATGCAT